TTTCAGAATAAGACGCCAGCTAGATTCTCTGGCCAGTGACAATAGTTGCCTTTCCTATATATTTTTCTAGAAGTTCCAGATTTGCATCAGTATTACATCCTGCTTTAACTATTGAGGGCAAAGTACATGTCTTTGGCTCAAATAGTCAATGGATTTGAAGGGCCTGTTGGCTGACTCTCCTACAGAAGCTGCTTTGATTGGCTGCCAGCTGACCTTTTGTCTTTGCTTAGACACATGATGCTAAAGGTTGCAATTCTCTCACTGATACTCTCCTCTTTACAGATCTTAGAAACCAACCATACAGACGAGCCGATGCGGTGAGGAGAAGTGTCAGGCGGCGCTTTGATGATCAGAACTTGCGTTCTGTTAATGGTGCCGAGATTACCATGTGAACCTGAGACCTGCCTCTATGAGTAGAGAGTATGCGTGAATGAAACTTTCCACATGAACTTTACGTGCTACCATTTAACTGCAACCTTGAACATTGACAAAATATTCTAAGGGCTCAGATTTAGCAAACACATAGGAATTTAAAAATGACGGGCTCTCCTTTCAACCTTTGTTAACAAGTGCCTAAAAGTGGAAGTACCTGCTCAGATTAATCAAAGCAATAGGGTTTGATTTGATTAGGTATCTTTTTACACCAGTATATTATCCAATTTTTTAACCAAAATGTAAATTTCGTATTACACTCGTTATCTGCCATTGTGATTGTCCCATGATGGCACACCCTGGTTTCCTGATAAGTTGTAAATAACATGGATGCATCTGCTGTGGGTTTCCTTTGCTGAGATGTCTTTTAAGGAATTTCATTTGTTTTAGACATACCCATCAACTGTCTTTTTAAGGGCTTGCAACGTGGAAGAAGGAAAAAGTCACATAAGCTCCTGTCCGTAACCAAGCCCCAGCACAGTACAAATAGGATGCATTGCAGTGGCAGAGAAGTCACTCAGCTGTGTCTCGTTTTACACTCTACACTGCTATGCTGGGGCGTGATGCCCCGGGAGAGTTCACCAGTATGAAAGCAAGGGTATGATGGCATACAAATTTGTGTAAGATTTTTTTGCAGTACTGTGTTCTTCAGCTAGAGGCAGCTTTTAAAATAATAATGCAAATGTATTTATTAATTAGCACTAAAATTAACATCTCAGTAATCAGTATTAGGATTTCTGAGACCATTATGGGCCTATCCTGAGAACAGAAATTGGTGCCTTGCTAGCCAGGGAGAAGTTCACTAGCTCTATCAAGCATTCAAGATTACTTCTACTAGCTAGTAGTGATAGTTAACCTAGCCTTATTTTCCTGACAATCGCAGGTCCCCACCCCCACTTCTTCCTCCTTTTGTAAATTGGATAAGATATATTTGGCATCATTACTTTATGGGGAATTGCAATTAAATTGCTTGAAATATTCACATTGGGATTAAGCTTAAATGGTATGTAATGGGACTAAATGGCCAACTAAGCCAGTTATTTTTCCTTCCTCTCTGGCAGGGCACGTGATCCATTCCAAAGTCAAAAACTGGACTAAAGCCAATTTGTACTTTTCATAATAAACATTCTGCTTCTGGCTTACCTTCTTGGTACATTACATCAGTATATTAATTGTAAAGTTTATTGTATAGTATTTAACCACTGAATTTCTTATTTTATGTTGTGCTCATGTGAACTCCTTGGTGAAGGTCCCATTTTCCTTGGATAATGTGTAGTTATATGATCTCTTTTTAAATGTACAGATATTTTGCTATAAAATTGGTGCAGTTTTTTATGGTTTTTACACTTTAATTCCCACCTAAGCCTCTGGGTAATATTGTAAATATTGTTTAAAAATGCATCAGCCTGTGCTATACAATCTGAATGTTATTTTAACTTATAGTTTTTTTTTAATATATATATTTAACTACAAGGACAGCTTAGGGATCAGTTACATTTCACTTTAGCATACCTATTTACAAAAAAATTACTTTTAAAACTGCCACCTGCTAGCACATTTTCTTGAATGTGTACTTTAAAAAAGAACATGCCAAGATTTTGTCTGTTAACATTGATTTTGATGAAAAAAGCAATTTGACCATGATACACCACGAGTAGTTGGCCCTTTATGACAAGGAGCTGTTTTCCAAAGCTCAATGCTAATAAGCATATATTAAAATAATTGCATATTTATTAATCAAATAGACAATAATGTTGGCATGTTCTTTTCTGTTTATTAATGGGCTTGCTTAGCAATATTAGAAATGTTTTATAAAAAAGCAGTTCATGTTACTTTTCTGGTCTTTTCATGACATATGAGCAAATAAACTATTTACACTACTATCCTGTAATATGTTGTAGTCTTTGAATGGCATACCTTAGTGGGGGGGGGTTTACCGGTTTTATATGCTTTTATCTTGTTTGCCCTCACAATACAAACTCTTGATCACTTGCTGTATGGAACGTAAGAACCTAATAGATTTTGGTAGTGACGGATACATCTCTAAAATTGTACTTACCAATTTATTGCTTCCAGAGAACACTGGTGTTTGGTAAAGATATTACCACCCCCACCCCCACCCCCAAATTTGTTGTGTGTATATGGACAGGTTATGTGTGGACTGCATAGAGGTGACCCTGCAACCAACAACTACATTGGTTGGCAAGGTACGTACAAGCAGTTTGGCCTCCATTGCCCAAACATGCTGTTATTTTTAACGGTAATTCCAAATCATCAGACTGTGCAACGTTCAGTATATTCTTTTTAGGAAAGCAAGGAAATTTGTTATTTTAGACAATTGGTCAAGTGGCTTAAAACTTTAAAAAAAAAATTAAAGGTTTTGAGAGAAAACATGAGGGAGGGAGAGACAGGAGAAGCAGCAGACTCCCTACTGAGCAGGGGAGCCCGATGTGGGGCTCTATCCCAGGGCCCTGAGATCATAACCTGAGCCAAAGCTAAGCCACCTAGGTGCCCCTCAAAATAACTTTCTTACAGAGGCATGAATTAATTATTGTATTCTTTGTTACCAATTTAGCACTCTTCTTACTGCACCACAGTTAGACATTGTAGTTGAAGCTTTATTTTATAAAGAGGGGGAAAGTTAAATTCCAGTTAGTAAAATTCTCTAGTTTGTGCCTCATGGTAAAAGAAATAATATCTTTAATATTCTACAAATTCAAAACGTTTTCAAACCCAAAGCACAGCAGTAAGTTCAAATGAGATGGATATGGTTAGGTATGGGGCATTATGTACCATTAATATCCACTTTTAGAGATATTTACCAGTGACTCAGAACTAAATCTCCTTGTTCCCAACTCCCAATCCTCTACAAATCTAAATTCTAATCCACTAAAATTCAATGACTGCCCAAGGGACCCTGCTGACTCAACAATGCTTAGCACAGAATGGGACTTGATACCCATCACTGACTGTGGTTCAACATACTGGATTTTGTTAAATTACCTTTTTACACTGCAAGACCTACTCTTAGGATAGTTTTATAACTGGCATACCTACTAGCTTTAATATTTGGTAAAACAGCTCTTAGCTCTAAGACATTTTAAAAATTTTTATCAGAATGTCTACAAAGATGATCAGCTCAGTATATACAAAAGGACTAATCTGATAGTTTTTCATTTCTCTTAAAACTAATACCCAATCTAATTTCAAGAAAAAAATTCGAAGAAACAAATGCATGAAGTGTTAAGCTGACACAAATCCAACTTAGTAAATTAAAAGACGCCATTTTTCTAGTATTTATTTACAAAAGGTCTAAATTTATATATTAGGTTCTTTACATCAGAACTATATATAAACGAGAAAATCTGGTAATTACAAACACAGAAAATAGAAACCTGTTCCCCCTTATTACTCACCTTTCAGAACAAATCTTCAGTTGTAGAGAGGCAGGCAAGAGAACAAACCTACCAAGTTTCAGGCAGGACCAAGATAAAGGAGTATTTATAAATAGCACATTTCAGATACCCCAAGGAACAGCGTAAAAGGGCATCAAGAAATGGCTTAGTTGGATTATGATCTGATTAGGCAGCCACTGTGTTTCAGTCTAAGTGGGGTGAGGGGTTGTTAGCTAGCTCCCCTGAAATGGAAACATCAATCTAGGCCATTACACCTGGGGCAATTACCAATCATTAACAATGAGATGGCCTTGAAGTGTAAACCATATTGAGTCACAAAAGCAATTTCTATATAACAACTTTTTGAAAAGCACAGAAAATCTACAATTAAGGAACTTAGGCCAGGGAGACACGCTAAATAAAATGGGCTAGAGGGAGTGTGCAGCTACTTGCGGCAAAATCTTCTCACTTCCCATACCTCACCCTTTGTTGGAAATAGCCTGAAATGATTAGTTCTCAATTTAGAATTTGGGAATTTTGCTGCTGTTTCCAAGCATGGCCTTTAAAGACTAACTCTGACCTAGCTAAACATTAACTCTTCAAACAGAAGTTTACTACTTTTAAAGTACTGTGGTATCAATTTATGAATATTAAAAAAAGCTACATTTCAAATCACAAGGAATTTTCTTTCCTACTCAGAAACCACATGGAAGTTACATGTTCTAACAAGCTTTTGGAAATTTCTGTAGTAAAAGTTAAGATACAGCCACTAGAACTTATCTTCAGTGCACGCCAATTATGTATGTGGCTTTAGTTGCAGGTTAGTACAGTTTATTGCGATAATGCTTTTTCAAGCCCTATAATACAGTTGCTGGGTACCATGGATGCTGGATGAGTGCATGTCAACTATTTTACATACATTCACTATACGCCTACAGTGTGCCAGGCACTGTTCTAATCCACAGGATATAGCAGTGAATGAAACACAAATCCTTGTCTCCAAGGAACCTGACCACCATTTAAGTTAACACAACTGAGAAACTTAAGAGCAAGGTAAGATTTAATAAAGAAGGTAAGAATTATTAGACTGGTATATGCCATCACCAGAACCATAAAGTAAAACTGTAAGCCTATTTAGAACGCAATTCCATGAAAAATTACTCGACATTATTTTGCTTTTCCTTTATTTAAAATGAGTGGTTTACTTAGAGAATATAAAAGAATTAAAATTGTACCTGATACTGAGAGAGATACATCCCCAAGGGAAAAGAAAAGTCTGATTTAAGATACAAGGAATTAATGTGCTTTGCCTCATTTTGCTTTTAGAAATGTTTATTTGGTTCCTTATTTTGTAATTTACATTTAAATTACATAATATTCTTAAATATTCTATAAACTTATAGCATTCATCACTCTTCCCTGGGTACTATTTGATTAGAAACCGTTCTCTCTCAAATAGCATCTAAGCTTAAAAACAAAACAAAAAACCTATATGGCTACCCCTTTCTGGATGCAAAAAGAAAAGTGGCTGCCTAGTCAGCACTGAGTTGACCATTAACACTGGAAGAAAACCAGGATCATCTAGGCAAATGCTTCTTAACACAGAATACAGGCCCTTTGGTAAAAAAAAATTATGGACTGTCTTTCCAGAAAAATGTACAGAGATGTTTCCGTTTTTACAGTTTCTTCACTCTACCACTATGAATAAGGCCTTACTCTAGGCCATTTTTATTTTATAGCTGTATAAAATGAGGCCCAATTAGCGAAGTCAAGCTGTGACATATCATTTTCAAATTTACTGGGAGGCATAAACAGTGAAGTTTTTATTGTTGAAAAACACTGAATAATCTATTTTTGAAGCTGCTTTGGGTAATAATGAAATAATAGCCTTGCTGTGTTTAAAAAAAAAAAAGGACCATTGCTTTTATTTAAAAGCATTACGTTAAATAAACTTGGGAAAGTGCAAAGGATTCATCATACTTGACTTTTCATACAAATTCAATTTTCCCATACAGGAATTACTGGACTGGGAGAAAATAAAAACATCAAATATTGGAGATTCTGATTTTGACTATTATGATAATAAATCTATTAGTAAATTTAATCCAATAATTCATTAATACTAAGATACAGAGGGAAGTAAAACCCTCAACATTTACCGAAGAGTCTGATGCTTAACTGAAACGTGTAACTTCCCCTTATCTGAAAATAAACACACTTTCCTGTTTGAACACATTCGTTCAAACTCTTTGAACATTTCTGTTTAACTCTAACAGAACCAATATTCTAAGACATTTCAGCTTTTACCAGACTGAAAATTTAGAAACCTAATCTAATAGGTTAAAAATATTCACATAGAACTCTTGTAACAAAATCTTTCCATCACCTGTGCTTTCAGACTGTACAGTACCTTTTGGTAACTAAATCCCACTTCATGGGATCATTAAAGGTAGACAAGGATTATAGTCACTTCAATTACATCTTTTATAATGCTGTTATATTTTGAGTTGCCATTTATTCAGCAGTTCTGTTTTAAGGTCAAATAATTTTCACGGATGAACTATAGAGAAACTTGAATTTGTACTGTAGGAATTTGAGGTGTGAAGACAGTATCTCTAAGAAATACAGAAATCTATTGTGAGGACATGCTAAAACATATCAATAACTTTTTATTTAAATAGAAAAATTAAAACTTTAAAGTTGCACTTAAAAAAATCATTCATGGAATTAAAACAAAATTTTACAGATTCTAAAATCTCTTATGAAACACCACACTAATATTTCTGCCAATATCATAAGCATTTTGAAGATTTTGCCACTGACTTCCATGTCAAGTGTTTGACATGATTAGCAATATTAACTATCATTATGAGACCTCTGAAAATTAAATCTAGGCAACTCCCTATTGCCAAAGTTGTTATAGTTTTTGGTTCTAATATACAATGAGACTAACCTCAAGTAAGCAACTTGATTACTTCACATCTTCTAAGATAGTGATTCTCATTTTCCACAGTCATGTCAGTTTTCACAGCAGGAAAATGACTTGGCAGAGAAAAGTTTAGAAATAACTCCCCGCCCCCCCCCCCCTCTTTTTTGAGGCTTTCAACAGTGGATGCTAGATTTAATTGAAACAGTAGCAAGGGATGGGGAAAGAGCAGTCCTGGTCATTTGAACTTCTCAAATTCATTAGAATGGTGAAGGAAAAATAAAATGAAGGTTTTGTTCTTCCAAATCCCAACTTGAAATAGGATCGCTCGAAGTGTCCAAAATAAAAAAATATCTAATGCCAAAGACTATGTGCTAAAATTTACTTATTAAAAAAATCTCCTGCACTGAAGGAAAATAGTATAAATTACATTACCAACTTTCAAAAGTTAGCATGTAAAGAGTATTCTAGCTTCAAACCATTGCCTCTCTAAAGTTTTCTATAGGAAATTTGTGGATCAAAAACAAATTACAGGGGCCTCAAATGTACTGATTTATAATATTAAATATTAAAAAGGAAAGGAACCTAGCTATGTGGGTAAGATGAAGCAAAATTTCAAGGATTTAGTATCTTTAAATGATCATACAATTTTAGAGCTGAGTAGTTTAAGTAGAAATAAATACTAGTACACGCTAGAAGAGAAGGTTTAATAATTGATAAAAATGTACAAAAATATTCAAATCAGAAATGCTTTAGAATGTGTACCACGAAGTCAATACTTCTCAGTGAGTAGGGAAGGTAAAAGACTTCCTCAATGAAAAAAAGAGAAAAGATCGGATTAAAAAAAAAAAAAAAAACAACTGTTAAAGAAAATGTTTAAGTCAACATTGATTTCTGTTTCAGACAAGGATATTGCAACTATCACTTAAAGTTTGGTGGCACATTCTTTAGTAGGTCCTTAAGGCAATATATTTAAACTAATTTACAATTTGATTTGATGTTAACTTTTAAAACATCACCTCAAAATAATGCCCTCACAACAGCCTTTTTTTAAAATGTATTCAGGTGTTTCATAAAAAATAATGGTGGCTTTATTATAGTAGTGCTCATTAGCACCACTATAGTTAAGGGTCTACCGGGTTTCCGTTAAGAACATCTATTTCTGAGTTCACCATAAAAGATCGTATCAGCTTTAACCAGTTGGGTAGTGCACAAAAAAGCAGTTTTGTCAGTTGCTGGTGCTTTTTTTGTACTACTAAATATCAAAAAAATTTTCATTATATCTTCAAAATCCAACTTCTATAAAGTAAATCAAATCGCCTCATGACTTAGACTTCAGAACAAAGTAGAGACATCTGCAGTTATCAGTGAATTGCCACCTTTAATCCATCCTGCAGTGCCCTATGAAAGGGTCACAGAAAGACAGTTATGACCGTATGAAAATATGATTCTTGATACAGAATCAAAAGTTATTTTCAATTTCCTTTGCTTTTTATAAAGTCCACAATAACAATACTTAAATGCACTTTTTTTTCCTGTGATATAATTAAAACCCAGTGTTATTTCAATTGAACTTTAAAATAGAGTCCCTGGTCTGAATTAGACTTTAAATCATACTGTAAACATATATTTGGTATAATTTATTGATCATCATCCAGTTGCTCCAAAAGGGTCCTTCTGCGCTTTTCCAATTCCCCTTCACTCAGTTCACTGCCAGAAGTATCCCAATTCCCCTGAAAAGACATTGAATACATTTAATGTCAGTACTCAAAAGCTTAAGCGGTATTGAACCTTTGAAAAAAAGGAACCAAAATATATGGACTGTCTTCCACAGAAACAAGCTCATCACAGGGTTTAGGACTGACCTCTTTTCCAAAAGCCTATTAATGAGTTGCTAACTACTCCCTGGTTTTACTAGGGGAGATAGTGAACTCAGAACAAGACTTTTATATGGTACTACTTTCAGTTTGCGTTAATATGTAAACTGGGCAGAATGGTACACAATGGTTTCTTTCCCTTCCTCTTACACCACTGAGTATGAAACATTTTGTTTCCATTTAATGGAAGTTGGGTATTCATTACCTAAGGCACTATATTCCTTGCTAATTTTGTAGATTCTAGGTCGCCTTCTAAGTGTTTTGTATTACAGAAAAGTATTATGCTTTAAGCATACTATCCTCAGATAAACATTTAAGATTTATGAGGATAAACATTTAAAATTTACGAGGACAATACTTAGACTGAAAAAATTTAAAAAATAAAATATTGTATTATTGGTGAAAAACAACCTTTAAAAAGTAGATCATCTATTCTTCCCTTCAGAGATTTCATTTAACTGACTACAAAGAAGAAACTGTTAAGCTGCTATTAAGTATTCAGGAAATCATTCTTCACCAAGGATGTGCATCAAACTCACCAGGGCAGCTTTTAAAAAAAACCCTCCATATCAAGTGAATCAGAATATCCAGAGGGAGAACCAGGGCTTATCTAAACAGTTTAAACTCTCCATGGGTCTGTTCAGGGGCATTACTCCTGCTAAGTCCACAGTATTTGTAGAAGAATGGCAAGGCTAAGAAGGCTTGTGTTACTTTGCTGTCATTTACATGCATACACACACACACACAGATGGGAAACTAAAGACTAATGTAATTTGGTATTAAAATGTTAACTTTGTAGTCCCCCTCCTATCCCTTTGCCTTTACCTCTTCCCTCACAATGATTACTCCTAAAAGTTACTGGAATGCTACCTTTTGAAACTGGATTTAGTAGTACTGACGACTGTGCACATCTGGAGAAACCCCGATCTGTGTCTCATATTCCTTAAAATTAGGTAGAAAATGTCCAGTGGTACTTCTTACAACTTACAAAGTAGAAGACCATATCCTTTTTCTTACTGGGTTAAAACAATAGTCATGGAAGACTTATTTTTGAGGAATATACAACTTAGAAAACTATTTTGTGTTGAGAGGCAGTTAATTGAATTTTCATTGTTTTCTTCAAATGGTAGCCAACCTGCAAAAAGTCTATTTAATGTCATACAAACCACAATATCCATTTTTGTATTTTGAAAACACAGGTATGAAATAATTCTGAATACTTACAGAATCCTTTCCAGTCTTTTTCTTAGGTGATTTGTGTTTTGATTCTGATCTTTGTCTAGTTCTGTCTTTTTCACTTTCTCGGTCTTTTTCTTTTTTATCCTTCTCTCGCTCAGCATCTGACTCTGGAGAGTCCTATGTAAAAAATAACATCAGCATTTTGATGAAGGTACCATTATGTTTTTTCATATCTCCATATAGGTAAGATTTAAAAACATCCATGTATTATTATAGGGCATGTGTTCCTATTATGGTGAAATCTGAATTATTAACCTCAAGGATTCGGTAACATTTCCAAGATTCACTGGAGGGAGTTGGTCTTTCCTTTGGGAAGGATGACATTCTGATACATTACCATCACAAAAGAGCTTCACTAAATTAGGGAAGAAAGCACACAAGATGGGATTATATCTATTATATAAATGTAGACAAACATTACATTTTCTGCCAACCCAATATTGTTGGGTTGTTCAGATATCTATAGAGAATGCTGTGATTAGCTTAATCATCTAACAGGTTGACCGTTATATAATAAATTCTTTCCTCAAAACTGCAACTAAAAGCAGGATTTTTTTTAAGAGATTTTATTTATTTAGAGCACACGTGAACAGGAGAGGGATAAAGAGAATATTCAGCAGACTAATATGCACTGAGTGCAGAGCCCAATCTCACGACCCTGAGATCATGACCTGAGCGGAAATCAAGTATGGAATGGATGCTCAACCAAATGAGCCACCTTGGTGCACTGAAAAGCAGGATTTAAAGTGCAATGTCACTGCCTAAATAAATGGTCCTTTAATAGACATGTATAAATTTGAGTGCGTAGCATGAAGAAAAAAAAATCTCATTCAACAAGTAGTAAATAGCCAGTCACTTATGTTTCGAAAAAGCTCCTTAGGGTATCTTGATACCTATGTAAAATGAAGAACTAAGTAAAAGTAGAGAAGTAGGTGAACGTTTAAACTTGTGATTCTCACCACAACAGCAACACATACACACTTGGGTCTTTCTGTAAGATTACTTTAAAAAGCCAGAGCGGGAATCTTAACACTGATACGTGTTTGTTTTCAAAGCTCACTATAAAAGATTTTAATGGACAATTACAGTGAAGACAAACTATGTAATTCCTGAGTTTAGGTGTCCACCTGAACTGTGCTAGACTGCACAGGACTAGATAGAAAAGCGTTCTATCACCACTGAACAAGTTAAGGGCTAAAACCTAGGTGCAGTATAACATATTTTAAGCTTGCTTACAGATTTATGTCTCCTCTTCTTGCTTTTCTTCTTATGTTTTTTTGACTTCTTATAACTTCTCTCTAAGCAACATGAAAAGAAAAAAAAAGTCAATCTGAGGACATCCAAGTGCCAATGATTTTTTTCTTTAAAGTTTTATTTTGGAGAGAGAGAGAGCATGGGGAGGGGGTGTAGAGGGAGAGGGAGAAGGATAGAATCTCAAGCAGACTCGTGCTGAGCAGGGGTTCAATCTCAGGGGAGATCAGGACCAAGAGTTGGACCCTTAAGCGATGGTGCCCCACAGTTCCAATGATTCTATTCAAGTTAAAAGAAATGCTTACCAGACTCAGCACTAGAAGAATGTTCTGAGGCAGACCGAGACTCTGATCGCTGTCTTTTTTTCTTTGAATGGCTGTCGTCATCATCTGAATCTGATCCCTATATATAATACATCATATAATTTCATTCATAATTATGTTAACAAATATTTCAACACACTTTTGGTACCATAATAACCTTCCTTACCGATCTAGAGCGGGAACGTTTCCTGTGATGTTTTTTCGATTTTTTAGAATGTTTCTTGTTCTTTGAATGATGATGTTGACATTCATGCTACAGGCACAAAAGGAAAAGAATTTCAAAAGTTTACATTTACCTAATAGAAGCAGATCATAAAGAATTTTTAAACGCTATACAAGTTATTGGAGTAAAAATCTTACTCTCATTTTGCACATTTAGGATGTACTTCCTTGAAACTGCAAAGAATTAGCAGTTAAAATGTTCTTTCCTTTCTAACCATCCCATACCCACTCATTTCGATATCTAAAAACAACAAAGTATTAAGAAAGAAAGCACTCTTTACAGGAATGAGAATGGTATGCTTTAGTAGGGACAATTAATAAACTCCAGAAAGCTATAATCTGTAGAACAGTCACACTACTTTCAAAACGAATGAAATAAAACTACATTCAGACATCGTTTTTCTGATCAATCTGGCTTTGGTCAGTGAGCTAGGCTTGGCACCATGAAAAAGAACTACCTCAGAGCCATCCTTGAACTAAGATAAACAAGGCTGGTCTCAGAATAAAGCAAAATCTAATCCTTTTTTTCTCCACCCAAGGAGCATTCTCTTCCTAGTCATATGTTAAGTCCTTCAAAGACAGTCTAACACCACATGAAATCAGAAAAGGAATGTTGTCTCTGTGGATTTTAATTCATTTATTAATGCTGCAGTAAAAGCTCCTTGCCCCCAAACTTATCTATGGCTTTGAAAATAATTCTGCTTCAGTTCACAAGTAAGTGGAAATAAAACATCTGACTCAGAAGGGAAGCTCCTTTTACTCTATGTCACTGAATGCTAAATTCTTTGTCCTTTTCTACCTCAAAGACTCAGATTACTAGGGTCCCAAAACTTATTCCAATTAACTGGCCCTTCCCTATGCTACAATCTTCAGCTCCATTTATGACCTCACCACTACTCCCAGCCAGGTCACCAGAAAATCTTGATTATGAACTGGGGGACAAGGTTAAGATACTAGCTAGAGCTTCTCACAATTAAATGTACATTCTATTCCAGTGCTTGAGAATCTTGTTGAAATGATTCTGATGCAGGATTTCTGCCAATGGCGCCTAAGATTCTGAATTATTAACAAGCTCCCAGGTAACGTAGATGCTGCTGCTCTCAAACACACTTTGAAAAGACTTAGAGGCCAACAGGACTAGATCTAGAGGCAGCTAGGAGATAATAAAGGTGATTGTGGATACATGTTAACAGAGCAAACTGTTGTCGACAGTGAAATTCATTAACAAGAAATCCAAGGAAATAGTGAACAGTCAATTAAGTGACCTGCAGTGCCCTATGACCACACCACACCAACACTCTAATGTTAAATATATGCTAGCTTGCAGCGTGTTGTAAAGTATCACTATGTCCAGAACTGGCAGGGTAGCATTACTTGTTAAAAGCATTGACCCTGGAGTCAAACAGTCTGGGCTGGAATCCTTTCTCTGCAAATTACTTCTCTTTGCCTCAGTTTGCTCATCTGCAACGTCACAGGGTTGTTATGAGGATTAAGTTCATATATGTAGTGTTTATAAAACTGTTAGAACAATGCCTGGCCCCACATAGGCACGAAATGTTTTTATTCAGTAATTACTAGTCTTTTTAGCACATTTACTACATACCATACAAGTACCTACTAAAATCTTCATCAAAATACCCTTATTCAGCTAATGGAGTAACTTGCAATTTTATCATTAGTTATTTTAACAAAAACTTCCTACTTATTCCATTATTTTCCAGACCTCCATGAGCACTGAACACATCTGACAGTGTAATATTTGAAATGTGTGCTTTAAAAGCTGTTTACGTTTTCTTTAATTTTACCAGTCAATTACAGAAGGCTGAACTCAATTTCTAAAATATTGTAAAACATGAAATAAATATGAACTGTCTCTACAAACACATCTTTATATTCACATGCAAGCTTGGTTTCTTTTACTTAGAAGCAGTTTCTATAGAAAAATCATTTCCTTAACCATCTCAGGTAATTACATTTGTAGAGAAGCAGTATAATTTAAAAAACACACTTTGATCAATCTAAATTCAATTTTTGTTTATATTTTTATTTTGAAATAGTGGAGTTAATTATGAGAATACTAAAATTACCTCAAGCACATGCATAAAATCTTTAAATATTCGTTTTCTTTCAGACTCTAGAGTTATGTCCTCAAATGCTGGCTCTTTTACAAATCTCTCCCGGATCTGAAAAATTCAGATAAGAATACATGAATACTAAGTATACTGGTATGACTAAAAAGAATCACAACAGCAAGTAGTAACTATGACAGCCTCATCCCCTCAAAGTCTATTAAATTTCTCTTCCTCTGAAGTCCAAACCATTTTCAATAAATATTCCTAAATGCAGGGTCAGACTTGAGTTATACTTTAAAATATTCTCAGTATATTTAATTTATACTCTACAAGTAACTTTAGCTTCTTTTTGTGGCTATAAAATGGGAAGGGAATTAAAGATATTTTTATCTTCAATTATAAAGGAAACAGATCATTAGAAAGAATTTACAATTATACATACATCTTCCCAGACAGCATCCAATTCTATTGGAGGAGTAGCTTGTTTCAACATACTCTTAAATGCAGATTCTTTTCGTTTCATTTTTCGAGCCTCCTCTTTTTCTCGTTCGCGTTCACGAGCTTCTGCTTTTTCTAGTAACTTTTAGAAAATCATATTTAATCAGTTTTAATAGTACAATTGAAGTAATTCATTCTTAAGCATTCTCCCACCATTTCTAAGTTATGGGCCAATTTACAACACCAGTTAATTTGAGCAAAGGAAACTTCATCATTAGCCAATTATCTAAATACACTATTTTCTTTTACTTTACTACTCAGTAAAATCCTAGTCATATGCCCTTATTTCAGTAGCCTACAGCTTAAGTACTTTTAGCTGAATATATTAAGAATTGTACTGAAGTAGTTTAGTACAAACTTTGTAAAGCTAGTTGTTTTTCATAGTAAAGATGATAACTTACACTGTTGAAAGCCAACTTAATATTTCCGGCATCTAACGTGGTTGACCTTTTAGTTGAACTGATTATGGCCACAAAGTCTTCGAAAGTCGTATTTACTTCAACTACAAATCCTTTATCCTAAGAAAGAGAAATCTTGTTAACACTAATAATAAACATAGTATCAACTTATAAAATTAAAATATACTACAGATTAACAGTAAATAGTAAGTGTAGTGTTTACCTTTAGAATGTCTTTTATTATTTTCTTCTCATCATGATAACGTGCTTTAAGATCCTCAACATAAAACTTGAAAAGGTCAAGTGCAGTTGATCCTAATGAAAAAACTAAAGAAGTCAAAAGCTAGCTCTAACCAAAGAGCTGCAATTACTTTTTTGTTTATAAAACAAAATAAAGCACCCCTCCATTCCCCAACATAACCACCTTCCTCTCTGGCCCATCCCAACTACTATCATAACTATAAACTGGGAAGAAAAGAATCTCACCCGGTTGACCAAGCATATTAGTAAATCTAATGTCGGAACTAATTGTTGGATACAATTCCATCCAAGATGACATAGAATGCAGTTGTCCATGTTCATGCAGTTCATCTAAAAATATCTGGGGAGGAAAACCCAACAATAACAAAAACCCATTATACTGAAAAGTCATCTTTAAGGACATTAGATATATTAATATAACATGTAAACACATTAAAAACAGCAATATTTGAAAATCTTGTACCAACGTACCCCAAATATGTTTTAAGGTACAAAGAATACTTGCTCTTTGATGAAAATAAAATCTTCTTTTAGGCAAAAACCTCTTCTGCACTTCAGAGAAAAGGAGATCTTTGAAAAACTACATTGTTTTCCAGGCTTCAGTTTACTGTTCCTTAAGATGGAACATCATTTCAGTTTGTACAAGTTGACTAGAAACATTAGGTGTATCTCTAATAATGAGGCTAAAAATGTGTTTACATGTTTCCTGTAAAATACACTTTTTGTTTTTAGACACAGTTCCCAATGTGTTCTGGCTGGTTTTTTTTTTTTTTTTTTTAATGAATAAACGTGGGGCCTCTAAGAGGATGTATTTTACTGAAGTGATACATAGTTTGAAGAACCAAGACTCAACCTCATTATCTGATTTAAAAATCTATTTCCTGGGGTGCCTGTGTGGCTCGGTCAGTTAAGCATCTGCCGTTGGCTCAGGTCATATTTCAGGGTCCTGGAATTGAGCAGCACGTCAGACTCCCTGCTCAGCGGAGAGTCTGCTTCTTTCTCCCTCTGCCCTTCCCCCCAACTCTTGCTCTCTAATAATTAAATAAAATCTTTAAAAACAAACAAACCTATTTCCTTTCTTCCATGTTAATTTTATACCCTAAATCTAAATCTTTATATGCTTATTACAATTTGTTCTTTATCCTTTTTCAGTATTTGCTAATTTTTCAGGGCAACATATTGGGACTTTTGTACTCAACAATTTTTCGTATTTCCTGCTTCCCCAAATCCTTAGGATGTTTATTTCTATAAACAAATGTCTCTAAAGAACTATGGCCCAAAATTCTGCTCCTGAAATTTCTATGCCTGCACTGTTCAATATGGTAGACACAGGTCAAATGTAGCTTCTAAGTCCATGAAATGTGGCTCGTCTGAACTGAGATATATCATAAGTATATAATACGTGACAATTTTGAAGATTACCAAAAAATCTCTTAAAAAATACCAATTCCATATTAAAATAATATTTTGGATATACTGGGTAAAATTAAAGATTACTAAAATTAAAAATTAATACTAAAATCATACATGAGGCATATAAATTTTTACAGGCTATCAATGCCCTGAATAAAACCATACACCTATCAATTCCACTTCTCTTCATTCTTGAATGCAAAAACAAAGTAACATGCTGATACCAGTTACAGTAACAGTAATCAGAAACCATAGCCATATTTTAGGCTTAACTAAAAGACCCATGTGGACTTTACCTCATGATTTCCCTTCCAGCTCCAGCACTGACATAATACATACTATTTTCTGTGACCCAGATTACCTTATTTTTATTGTATTACTATTTTATCATATAGGTCTCCTTATTTTAAACCACTGCAAAACCTTCATAAGAGCCCTTAAAGTTCAATGGTTGCAGAGGAATATTAAAAAAACCTAAAATATGCTCTTCCCTTCCTCCCAGGCACAAGGCTGCTCAGTTAAAATGTAGGTTTTCCAGCCTCCTTTGTATCTAGTTGCAGCCATGTGACTAAATTCTCAGCAGCTGAATATGAAGTAGAGTAAAACTTGTACATCATTGGCTTAAAAAAAAAAAAAAAACAAAAAAACACAACTATCCTTTCAACTTCTTCCAAGCTGAAATGTGATAATGTGGACAACAAATTCCCAATTATGCATAAAAGGCTAACGGCCTAGGGCAATTCTAAAGTAGGGGCCAGAAGCATCACTATCACCTAGAAACTTCCTAGAAATATAAATTCTCAGAACCCACCCTAGACCTACTGAATCAAATTCTAGGGGTGAAGCTCAAGAAATCTGTGGTTTTAAGAATTCTCTGAATGATCCTATAGCAAACCACCAATAAAGGAACCCGTAAGAGTAAGAAATGTTAAGGTTTCATGGAATGAGGACTAAAGGAATGCTACTGTCTATGGCATTTAAGATTGTTTAGTGACTTTTGGCATGACAGTAAGAGTTTATTTTTCTTTTAAGATTTTATTTATTTATTTGACAGAGAGAGACAGTGAGAGCAGGAACACAAGGGGGAGTGGGAGAGGGAGAAGCAGGCTTCCCGCTGAGCAGGGAGCCCGATGTGGGACTCGATCCCAGGACCCTGGGATCATGACCTGAGCTGAAGGCAGACGCTCAACAACTGAGCCACCCAGGCGCCCATATAGTAAGAGTTTATTGAAAAGCCCTCTAGGTGGGATGACTGGCTGGCTCAGTTGGTAGAATATGTGACTCTTAATCTTGGGGTTGAGTTCGAGCCCCACATTGGGCAGAGAGATTACTTAAAAAAAAAAAAAAAAGTCCTCTAGATGATTTAGATGCACACTAAGTTTTGAGTACTACTGCCTTAGGGAATAGCAATGTGCCCTATCCTACGCCAAATAATTATCATTAAAGGAGAAATAAACTTAAGTCTCTGTAATTTACCATTTATCTTAATACAGTGTTTAATGGAAGAGATCCTAGGTGGCTCAGTTGGTTAAGTATCTGCCTTCGGCTCAGGCTGCGACCTCAGGTCCTGGGATGGAGTCCCCTGTGGGGCTCCCTGCTCAGCAGGTAGCCTGCTTCTTCCTCTCCCTCTACCACTCTCCCCCCACCCCACTCATGCTTTCTCTCTCTGTCTCTTAATAAATAAAATCTTAAAAAAAAAAAAAAGACTGTACAGATTCAAATTCTGGCTCCACTACTTAGTTGTTGAATTTGGGTAAGTCACTTCGCCTGAGTCCATTTCCTTATCTTATATAAATGGACATAAGAGAAATAGTACCAACTCTTAGAAGGTCATAATAAAAATTTAAGTGATTATCAATATAAAATGTATAGCAGTAAACAATGCTAACTGCTATTAATATAATTACTGAAATGAGCAATCTGGTGAAGTATGAAATGTAAAAACTCATTACACTCCATGTTACTATTAATGAGGATAAAAATGATATCTGGAGGTGAAAATGAGCCACTGACCTATATAAAGAATATATAATTTCAACTTCTATGTATAGCATTTAAGAACTATGGCCCATCCCCAAACTATATACCCCATATCATTCCCTACTGTTCTCTAGACACTAAAAATCAACTAATGAGTCATCATACATATTTTTTCAGTCTTCGCTCATGCTAATCCTCTTCCCCAAGTGAAACCTTAATCGATTTACCTGTGCTCACCTTAAATATCAAATCTGCTACAGCCTTTTATGTTCCCCTGGCCTAAAATGGCTGTTCTCCTTGAGTTAAATGTGTATGGATCCTCCACAAAGCCTAAGTTAATGATCTGGGATGAGGGAGTCTCAAAATTGTTTCTATCACTGTTGAAGCTCACTAACCGTAGTATGAAATTAAACTAGAAAAGAGATTTTTTTAGTTACCTGAAAAGATTCTCTATTTTTACGCTGTCGTCTCCTTTCTCTCAGCAAACTCTTCTGTTTTTCTTCTTCTTCTTCCTTTTCTAAAGCTCGGATGTGTTCTTCAAAGCAAATTAATGCATCTTCTTTATCCATGTCTAGAGATTTTTCCAGTTAAATAAAATTAAAATGTCTGTTATCAGTAAGGAAAGCAGTTTATTTACATTAACTTCCTTATAAATTTCCAATTCACCTTTCCAAAATACTTGTAATTAAACTCAAATATGACTTGTAATCATTTAAATAGGAAATGTTTTTAAAAAAATTCCAGAACAACCTCATTAAAAGATAGCTTGAATTCGAGGGTGAAATAAAGACCATGCACAAGACATAATTAAGGAAAATATAACTGTTACTGTAAAGTTTGTCAGCAACATTAGAATTACCTAAGGAGCTTTTAACAGGACAGAATTTTAGGCCCTACCCCACACCTACTGAATGAAGCATGGTATTCAGAGGGGTAATCCACAAAGCTGTAATTTAAAAAGCAACTAGGTAAGTCAGAAAAAAAACCGGGGTAAGCTTAACGAAGGATAATGCTAATACAATTTTTGGTGTTTGCAAATCTCTAAAGCCATTACCTCAAGAAGACAGTGTGAGTAAAATTGTGGTAATTAATCTAGTTCATACTAAATTACACAAAAATGGCAGAAAACAGTTTCAGGTGTGCTCTATGACAAACATATTTTAAGGATTATCTGATAAAGTTAATATTTTCTTTCTGAATAATGAAACTCAATTAGACTCTATCTGGAAACCAAAAAAAAAACTGTATTAGTAATGGACAAACAATGGGTGCCTGGGTGGCTCAGGTGGATTAAGCATCGGACTTCTGGTTTTGGCTCAGGTCAAGATCTCAGCATTGTGAGACTGAGCCCTGCATTAGGCTGGGTGTGGATTCTGCTTAAGATCTTTCTCTCCCTTTCCCTCTGCCCCTCCCAACATTAAAAAAAAGAGGAATGAACAAATAATTGTGTAACATTCAGTTAGTGATCTCATAATAAAAGTAAGAATTCTTTGCTATTGGACTTCTAAAAAAAACTTTCTCCCATTTAGTCTTTATTCTTACTCTGTAATTCCTCATCTTCTGCAAAAGTTGGATTATCCATCAGATACTGCTGGGCTTCAGACCAGGTAGTAGAGTATGTTACATTAGCCATGTTGTCAAGTATGTTTTTTAAGGCTTCCCAATTTCTCTTCCGTAACTGCTTTGCTTGCTCCTAAATCAGAAGAATGAATACACATTTTGAGGTTCAAAGAAAGTATGGTATTTGAACTGCTATCAGTGAGTTTCTTTACATTCTAAATGATGCCCAAATTTCATGTTACCCGTTTATTTTAAATATCAATACTACTTTTCCAGTGATCTTGTCCAACTTCTTAGCCTGGTAACTGCTTACCTTCAATTTTTTTTTTTTTACCTCTAAGAAGCTGGAATCTGGAAACCGTATCTTCCCAACAACTCCATAAATCCCTCTTCCTATAACTATGCATTATAGACAGAGTCTAAAACTAAGGTTACTGTCAACAAGTGACACAATAGGCAAATGCCAGTCTTCAACCACTTTCAGTTATGTTCAAATTTTCATTAATACTTACAATTCTATACATCTCAAGATTGAATAATATATAACTTACTGCAAAATAAAATAGATGAGGTATTTTAAAACACTATCGTGCAAACTCATTTTAGTGGTAACAATTATATATTACTGTCATTCTTGTATAGAAAACTAAATACATTATAAACAAAAATACTGAGTATTTTAAAAAACCTAATGAATTAAAAAAAAAGTATCTTTCAAAGTGGGCATAAGACAGCCAATTAATGACAATTCAAGTAAGAGTTGGATAAATCTGTACCTAGTGTATCCACATCAGTACTTACTATTACAGGAGCTATCCATTTTTAAATCTAACTTCTAATAAAGAGATCTGCTACACCACATAAATTGAATAAACCAAGCAACAAAAATGGACATGTTATAACTCCTAATCAGAATAAAGAAATATTTTATCTATAAATACTAACAACTATGAGTGAATAATACCTTTTCTTTTTTTGAAAGAAAGAATAAAACATCTTCATAGATTTCAAGACGATCACGTTCCGATATTGCATTCCAGACTTCCATCTCTCCAAACATTTGCTCTGCTTTTCTAGTAAAAAAAGTAAATGTTACTCTACTCAATAAAAATTAATTTTCAGCTATTTTAATTTTATGGTAAGCCTAAAACCACCCAATGAACACTCTAAGTTCATGAGTATATTATACAGGAAAACTTTTGGATAATTAAGAACAAAATAGCTTAGGCTTCCAGTCCTCCTTAGTGATGGGGTGGATAATTTTTTTAAGATTTATTTATTTGAGAGAAAGAGAAAGGAGGAGGAGGAGGGCGAGAGAGGCAGGGAGAGGGAGAGGGAGATGGTGAGGGAGAATCCCAAACAGATTCCCAGCTGAGCCAGGAGCCTGATGTGGGAATCCATCTCATGACCCTGAGGATCATGACCTGAGCTGAAACCAAGAGATGGACGCTTAACCTACTGAGCCACCCAGGCGCCCCAAGGAGTGGATAATTCTAACTGAGCCATGTTTTGTAGTCAAGACTATTATTTCTTAGGGTAGCTATAGACACTAACAAACTGTCCATGGAACTAAATTATAGACTTCAAAAAGTTGCCCAGAAATTTAGATAATACATAAAACAGGACTATTTAAAGAAATGAAGAATCTTTACCCTAATGCTTTTCTAGAAAACTGAGGAAAATAACAAAGTACATGTGGAAAATGAACTTAACTTATTGCAAAAATGTTAAATTTCAATATATAATATATAATTAATATATACATATATATATATTTTTTTAAAGTAGGCTCCACACGTGGAGCCCAATGTGGGGCCTGAACTCAAAACCCTGATAGACCTGAGCTGAGATCACGAGTCAGACGCTTAACCAACTAAGCCACTCAGGCGCCCCTCAGTTTTTATATTAAATAGAAAGGAGTCAGGCTTTAATTATTACCTTCAGTCTACCCCTCTTCTGTTCTAGTCCCCAGTTAGTAACTCAGTAAGTCTGTAAGTTAAATTCCACATTTAACTATTGATTTGTACCTTATAAAACTGCCCCACTCATAGTCATTTAGCTTTAATGAGCATATACTTTGGATTAGTTACTACATTTGACAAAAAGTCTGACAAGGAAACGGTGCAGTAAACATACACTATGCATTACTAAAAATCTTACTTGTATCTGGTTGTGGAAGTCATTTTCTCATGATTTTCAAGAAAACGCTGAAAGGATTCCTTAGCCTCTTTGTATTTTGATCGTGCTTCTTCTTTTTCTTCTTTCTCTGTCTGGACTTTGTAAGCATTAAAGGCTTGCTTTTTTTCACTCAACTTTGCTAAAGCACTAAATAGAAAAAATACCATATAAGAGTAAATGAAGACAGGATGATCAAATGTCAATGCTTTGAAAAAAAAAAGATTTCATTTACTAATCAAAATTTCAGTAAGATATTAAAAATTAAGAAACAATTACAGAAAATAATTTCTACTTTAAAATCTGTACTCAATGTATGACAAGCTTTTTGGCTTTTTTGGTTCATATCTGACATATAACAACTGTTCTTGGTATCTAAAATAAGAGAAGACAATGAAAGTTAAAAATTACATTATTTTACACAATTTTTAATTTGTAGGGTTGGAAAAGTAAAAAACTTCAAGTGTTACCTGTATCGTGGATCATTAATGATCATTTTCATAGCTTGTTCCCATGAAGCATTAGATGGTACTCGCTGAAAACCATTTAATGACAAAATTAAAATTTTGCAAATATTGTAAAAGTCATACACCAGGAAATAAAGTATTATACTCACTGCAAACATCAAGCACTTCCCTTTGCTCAAGTTTGAAAGAGATCTAATAATTTCTTATTGAACCAAGGCAAACCTGGGTAATATACATATAGACCAAAAAGAAAACTTAAACTGATATTTAACAGAGCAAGAATACTTTTCTTAAGACTTTCAGTTAAAAGATAAACGATTTTTATGAGTAAAAAACATTATACTAAATACAGAGGTAGAATGTGCGGTGTAGTACTGTACACAAGAATTTTTTTGATGAAAATCAGTTTCACAAAAATATTCTTCAAAAAAGGCAAATTTCATTTTTGCTTACAACAGTTTATGAAATTACTATTTTTAACAAAGGCATCAAGGTACTGACTGCATTAAACAGTTAACTTCATTTATTAGATAATTATTGTATGTCATATAAAAATCGTTAATACCTTTTCTTTCAATAATTCTTTAAACGCTTGCTTTGCCTCTTCCTTTGTATTCCAAGTATAGGTTTTCTTTGCTGGTTGGCTTTCCTCCTCTTCTTTTTTGGGAGTAAAACTAGAGGGAAATTCAAACATTGTATTTATAATTTAAGTAAACATTTGCCTCACTTAGAAAAACAATGTTTTCATTATTTGTTTGATATTGAGGTTAAATTTTACAATTTTAGAATAAAGTCTCCTATATGAATCCTACACACTTAACTAAACATAAAGACATAAAGGTAATGTAATTTTTTCCTGAAAACATTCAGTTATTAGGACCTTGCATGAGGGCTTCTAAAACAAACAATTACACTAAAACATAAGTTCCACTAGTCCACAAATGAATACTCTTAAATGGTCTATAAAACTCACCCAGTGTCTTCATTTCAGTGCCTTTGTAAGTAAGGATTTGGGCAAGTGTGCATGAATATAAAAAAGATGCTGAGGATCTAAATCAGGATGGAAATACTACAACTCATGCACCAAATCTAGCCCATTGCCTGTTTCTGTAAATAGTTTTACTCATGAGTTTATATATTGTTATGGCTTATTGTGTGCTACCATAGCAGAACTACATCATTGTGACAGAATTTATGATCCACAAAACTGGAAGTATTTACTCTGATAATTTACAAAAAAAAGTATGCCAAACACTGACCTCAAACAAAAAGAATTAACATATCCAAGAATTATGAACTGTACTAGTTTGGGGGTCTTTATGAAAAGGTCATTTAATCCCTTCCTATATAAAGGGAAAAAAAAAATGCAGAAAACAAAAACTAAGCAGAAAACTTAGGGGAAGATACTGGAGCAAATACTAACAACCACAAAAAATATATTCACACCCTCTGAGTCAAGTAACCTTACTTTGGGAAATTTATTTAAAATCATCAGAAAGAGTATAAAGGGCCCAGTCAAAAATTAACAGCTATAAATGGTCTATACTACAGTAAATAAAATAGAAAGATTATAATGACTCAGGCACTTAAGGAAATACTAGAAAGAAAATAAGCAGGAAATAATTGTTCACTGCTAAAATTACGAGAAACAAATTACTACAGAAAAAAATAAAGGATAAAAAGATGTAAAAAAATACCATCCCCAAAAGCTTAAATGTCTATCAGAACACTGAAATTTATGTATAAGTAAATAATAATATGCCATCATTCAACATGATGGGGTATCTTTATAATGTAAAAAACATCAGATATAGGTTTAATATATATGTATGTGTGTGTGTGTGTGTATATATATATGTGTATATATATATATATATATATATACACACACATAATGCATGTATTTTTAAATGCGCAGAAAAAGGCCAGAAGGACAATGTCTGGCAGGTTTAGTTCAAAGAGCATGCAACTCTTGATCTTGGGTTATGAGCTGGAGCCCCATGTGGGTGTAGAGATTATTAAAATAATAAAACAGGAGTGTGTCAGTGGCTCAGCTGATTGAGCATCCAACTCTTGCTTTCGGTTTAGGTCATGATCTCAGGATCCTGAGATGGAGCTCCATGCTGGGCTCTGGGCTCAGAGGGGAGTTTGCTTTCCCTCTCCCTTTACCCTCCTCTCCTGCACGAGTGTGCATGCTCTCTCTCTCAAATAAATAAATCTTTAATAAAATAAAACTTAAGAAAATAAAAATAAAAAAGGGCAGAAAAATATAAGTAAAATGTTACTCTTTTATGCCTTCAAATATACCATATAGATTCCTTTTTCAACTTCTAAACATCAGAAAAAATTATAAAGCTCTTTTCAACTTTGGGAAACGTACATAAGAAAAAATCTAAAAAGTATATTTACAAGAAGGAGTTGGGAGATGAAATGAATATGCTTAAATATTAAGATGGGTGATCATATTTGGAATTTGACACCATGGTTAACAGTTTTTTTAAAATATATGTGGGGGGGGCGCCTGGGTGGCTCAGTTGTTAAGCGTCTGCCTTTGGCTCAGGTCATGATCCCAGAGTCCTGGGATCAAGCCCCGCATCGGGCTCCCTGCTCTGCGGGACGCCTGCTTCTCCCTCTCCCACTCCCCCTGCCTGTGTTCCCTCTTGCTGTGCCTCTGTCAAATAAATAAAATCTTTTAAAAAAATAAAAAATAAAATATATGTGGACATCATTAAAGTCAGGAAGCATGGCTCAAGGTTACTTTTTTATCTATATAAAGCACAGCCATATGAAATATGACCAGATGATAGGGAACACAAGTACATGTGAGCTATAAACTGACAGATGCAGCTGTTTTGGCATATTAAAAAGCTATAGCAATTTAATTACAGTAACAATTTTCCTTCTACACCCTACTAAGTATTTTTGTCTATTTTTTGCTTCTATTTGTTAACATCAAACTATAGCACTTCCTTTTAGGGCTGTGCTAAGTCATATCTGAGACTGTCTGTAAAATAAAGTAATACTAATCCTGTATTTAAAATTTTGTTATTTTAATAATCATGGCTTTTTTTGATTTAAAATTACAGCACCACAACTGATATATCTTGATTACTAAAGTGCTTGGTACCTCAATTTAAATTTGTGCCTCACCCTCGATCTCTAAATTCTGCTTCCTAAAACTTCTGAGGATTAGTTTTTCAACAGTTTAAGAGCATGACCTCACAAAATTCAGTCTTGATAATGATTCATTATCTAATAAAGGCTCATGTTTTGATTCACAAAAAAATTTTAAAAATATTTTATTTATTTGACAGAGAGATAGAGAGAGCACAAGTAGGCAGAGAGGCAGGCAGAGGGAGGAGAAGCAGGCTCCCTGCTGAGCAGGGACCCCTGGGATCATGACCTGAGCTGAAAACAGCTGCTTAACCAACTGAGCCACCCAGGTGCCCCTCTTTTTATTTTATTTTATTTTATTTATTTATTTGACAGAGAGAGCACAAGTAGGCAGAGATGCAAGCAGAGGGAGAAGGAGAAGCAGGCTCCCCGCTGAGCAGGGAGCCCGATGCAGGGCTAATTCACAAAAAAACTTTTAAACACTCAATGGCCATCATGTAAACTGGCAATTTCTTGCATTAATGAAGTCTGGTACTGATGTGCAAAAGACAAGTCACCGAACTTACTCAGCTACAGTTTCCTGCTTAGCTGTTTCTTCTCCAGTATTACTGGATACTTCCATACTCTGTTCCTGAACAGCAGGAGTACTAGTAAGTTGTGTTTGTTCTTCAGTTGAAATTGTCACTGTATTCTCGTTATCTACAACGGTAGCAACAATCGAAGTAACTTCTGGCTCAGGAACGACTGGGCCAGTTCCACCGACAGTGTTTGAAGCAGAGGTGGAAGCACTGGCATTGGCTGCGGCGGCGGCAGCAGCGGCGGCGGCGGCGGCGGCAACAACAGCGGCAGCGGCTTCTGCAGCAGCCATGGTGCTCATGGTGGTTGGAATTTCTGTTGTAGGAACCGGGGCTGTTGATGTTGTGGTGCACTCCTCTTGCTTACTATATATTAAAAAAACAACAAAAACCGGGTCATCTCATTAAGTAATAATCAGAAAGCCAAACAATACTAGTTTTTATCATAAAATCAAATGAGTAAGAGAAACTAAAAGGGAGAAAGGCAATGTGGCAAACTATTAAGCCATTTAAAAAAGATGAAAAACACAGAATGACATTGGATTACTTTGATTTAACTGAGCAAACATTCAGGTTAATATAGGATAGGGACTCATGCAACACTCTACACTTCCAAAAGTCCAATAATTGTTTTCGTTCACAAAATGCCCTACTATCAGACTGTATTATACATCATAAAATTTGGCCTATATCATAAATTTCTATAAGAACTTTAAATTTTATCCATTTCATATATTAAAAGGGAAACCTGAATAGAGGAAGACATATATACTTCATCCATTCCCAAATTAAATCAAACCAAATTTTGAACTTTTCTACAACACAGCCTTCTTAACTCAAAGGATGCAATCCAAACTCCAACAATCACTGTCTAGTAAAGTGTCATTTGTATATCTTGAGTAAATATCCTTCTCCTGCCCCCAATCTCCAAGGACATCAAACCATCAGGCCCAACATGTTAAATACTATTTATACTATAAAGCAAATAGTTAAAGCAAGAATGCTATATACAGGAGATACCAAATTTGTAAATTGTACTGACACCCAAAATTGCTTACCTGCTTTCTTCAGCTTTGATCATTGCTATTAAAGAAAAAAAAGCAAAGTTACATATGACATGGTTTTTAAATACAATCACTGAAAACAAACATTAAAGGGAGATAAACAGAAGTTTCATACAGTAAGATTTAATTTGCCATCCAAAAAAACAAACTTGAGCAAATTCGTGCTCCAAAGTTGCAGGGTAGCAATTAAAGAATGAAGACAAATTTAAACAATAGCAGTTTTTAGGAAAGTTTCTCTGCACACTGCTCCTTTCCCAAAGGCTGCTGGCTATTGCAAAAACTCTCTGAAAATATCTGCATAATTCTGGATTAAAACAGTATTTTCCCCAAGGGTAAAATTAACTGATTTTTTTTTCTAAGATACCAAATTCAAAATGAGACCAAATTCATATCATGAAATTCCAGCACAATATACTAGCATTGACAGGTAGATAGACAGTTATACACACCAACTGTTTTGTAGTAGGGTTATATCAGAAATGAGCTTGATATTTCTTACATGAATAAAATGGGAATCTACCTATCTATAATATTATTATTAGCCAATGCTAGTGTAGAAATTTAAAGAGCTTTAAAGATTTGCATTCAATATTTCAGCTTTTATTCCAATTAAATTTTTCTTTATGGGTAACAAAAATATTCAGCATCTTTAGGGAATGGTGGTCCACGTAAGTGATAACAAAGCTGAACTTTATGAAAGTATTTTAAAAACTTAACCCCCTTTAATGGAAACCATTTCTGAAAGTATGTGTAGGATGTCTGACAAAACATACTAAAGGAGTCATCATTACTAACATAAATTAATATATTTTTCAGATACAATGATGATCTAAGCTAATTATGTGACACAAGAAAAAGGTAAGTAGACTTAAGACCACTGTTCTTTTAGGCAATTTTTATTCTCTTTACTGTCAGATGTCATTCCACACTGCAGACTACTTTATTAGCCCCATTTCTAAAAATCTGCTTCTAAATCGATAATTTATAATACCAGATTCTATTAGAAGCGAGACTAAAAGCACTAAATTTTCAATTCACACTCTAATCTCTGCTCTTTGAAGAATTGGGTTTCATATTAGGTAGTATTTCCAGATTCTCAGGGTTATTCTGAACAGTTGAGGATAATGAAAAATACTCCCTCTGTAAGTAAAGCATGGCATTTTGTTTAATTGTCCCGTAACATAAAGGCTATTTTGCAATGTTGTGCTAAAATAATAACAGCATTAAATGTATAGTCTGATAATAAAAAAATTTAAACTGAACTCAAGGCTCTCTGCTATCTGCTATATGGGTTAAGTCACATATTGCACATATGTACCAACACACACCGTTGTATTTAGAATTATTGTACATGATGTCCTTATTCAATTTTCCAATGGTAAATTAATTTTTTTTAAATCAAAGTATAATTTTAAAAGTCACAAGCTCATTTATAATATAACCCTTTAATGAATTTTTAATTAGAGGTTTCTCACTGCAGATTTATCCAATCATGGTTAGTGAACATTAGTAACATACTTTAAAAATGTTAAATAATGACAGAAAATGAATTATCAAAGCAGCTCACCATGCAGGTTTGATTTTGTAATAAGACTTCCAGCAACAATGGTATTCTGGTATCCTAGTTTCAGTGGAATCAAATCAAATAAAAATCTATTTAAAATCTATAGAACTGATATCTAGAGCAACAAGAAAATAAGAGCCCATAAAACTGTTACACCATTTAAAATGTTCTAATCATTTTTTAAAAATAAGACCTGTGTCTGAACAATCCTATTTATGAAGGATTGTTTCAATGTGAATGACATAGATATCTAAAAAAAGTAACATTAAAAATTATTTTTTTCTGTGTTACCTTCAAGATCCTCAAGTTCTTTAGGTTTGGCCCAGCGGGATTCTTTTGTTTGAGAATTATAATAGTAAGGCTTTCCAGAGTCAGATTTGTATTCCTTCCAGGGACATTTAGATAAAAGTTGCTAAAGGGAGATAGAAATCCTCAGTAATGTATTTAGCATCACTGATCATTCACATTACGGTTTCACTAAATATTATCAATCTGTACAAATCAAATGCTTTGAAGATAAGCCACCAATTATAGAATACTTAGTAGGTGATATTATATTAATCTTAGCAATAATACTGCAACATCCATACTATTATTTCAAATTTATACTGTTACTTACAGAAAGTAACTTGTTTAAGATAATACACCTAATTAAGGGGCAGAGGCAAGATTCAAAACCAGGTCTAAGTAAATTTCAAATCCTATTTGCTGGTGCCATTTACACCCCCATCATAGGTGAAATTTATCATATGCATTTCACAGACTTCTCAAATACTAACAAAAGTAGGAAAAACATAAAAACTGGGAAAAAGCAAAATCTGGTTTACCCATGCTTAGATATCAGTTTTATGGCTAATAATTTATTAAACCTATGTGAATTATCTTATGTAAGGAAACAATAAGTATGATATATTTAAAACCTAATATATAAAACTGGTTAGGTTGGCATGAGAATGCTACTGAAAACTCCTATTTAGACGGTATCTTAGTGATGATATTTAAGGAAGAAATAACTACCTATATCAGTACTGGGATAAAAAAAAAATTAAGTCTATGCCAACCTCCCATCCCAAGTACTGCTGTGCATTTTAGTGTGGTGGCCTGGAAAATATTTTTATATCCTCAAATTCCTTTATTAAGAGGGAGAAAAATAAAGATACGCTGCCAACTTGGAAAAATCTTCAAGTGTGGCTTGAAATGCCAGATCAACTCTTACTTAGGACTCCAGAGTTCCTAATTAAACCATTTGCAATAAAGCTTACGCAGTTTAGTCCTTCAATCTAATTTCCACACTGTATACTGTGAATGATAAAATTTGCAACACAAAAATACACATACTTTCAGGGGCTTTTTCCACAAAGACAATTTCCCACTCTAACAGAAGGATACTTATATTTTTAATTTAATTCCATCTCCATTACCCCAAACTCACTGGAAATGTTTAAGAATTCACTGGAAGACATTTGCAATCACCTAGGTTTGCTATAAAGGGAAAACAGTTTAAAATGTGATTTTAGGGATGCCTGGGTGGCTCAGTGGGTTAAGTGTCTCCCTTTGACTCAGGTCATGATCCTAGCATCTTGGGATCAAGTCCCGCATCAGGTTCCTTGCTCAGTGGGGAGCCTGCTTCTCCCTCTCCCTGCCGCTCCCCCCGCTTGTCCTTTGCTCTTCCAATTTATTCTTTAATCCTTCTTAATTTGATGCCATCGGGTAAGGTTTACTGAGCAGGGGCAAAAATCAGTAAACAAAATTGGTCTGCCTTCTAACAGTCAATTACCTATAAAATCCTAAGAAAAACATGACTCAATCTATTTAACAATCCCTAATTTTAAAGCCTCAAACTTTTACCTCAGCAGGTGTTTTCAGATCATCTGGTTTCTCCCAAGTAGACTGTTTTGTTTCAGTATTGTAGTAGTAAGTCCTTCCATCAGGTGACTTATGCTCGGTCCACATTGATTTCTAAAGAAAAAAATTACAAAAAGATTTCAGTTATTTAACAGTACTGAGGTTTTAGAATCTCTCTCTTCTACAAAGTATCTCACAAGTTTAAGGATAGGACCGTTTCTCTTAAGAATGGTAATTTTGTAACTAACACACAAAAGATAATCTCTGTGCAACATAGTTTATCTTAGCTATGCCTTACAGCTAAAATATATGAAGTAGATGCTATTGTATAGGTGGACTGATCATGACTCAACAACTTGAATTCAGAGAATATTTATATCAAGTTAGACAAAGTTCTAGACTGACATGCCGTAAAGATGCAGCTGTCAAAACTACAAAGGATGGGTTTTGGATGATAGTCAAAATTTAACAATCAAGGTGAAATTTAACAGGGATAAAATGTGAATCCAAATGCCTCAAAACAAGATGGGTGAGAAAGTTTTATGTGACACTAGTTTGATACAGAATATAAGTCCACTCTTGGACTTAGAAGAACTACTAAGAACCTACTAAAAGTTGCTAGTAAAACCTCAGGCATCAATAAACATGATGCCTCAAATAAATGCTGGTTAAGAGTTTTACAAGGTTCCCATACATATACACATAAAATAATAATAAAGAGGGTGGGAAGAAAATTTGAGAGGTGATAGGTGTCTGTGGTCTTGGTGGTGAGTTTCTCAGGTATGCATTTATTCCCCAAATCATCTGGTTGTACACATTAAGCATGTGCAGTTTTATAAGTCAATCATACCTTAATAAAGAGGTTGTTTAAAAAAAGTAATTTTACAAGGAATTATGAATTACTGAATGAGATCAAAGGTTATTAAGTCCAGTTCCAAGTACCAGATTATTCAGATAGTAACAAAGTATGCTTGAAAGAGGATTAGAGAAGATCTATATCACATTTCTTCAAATCTAAGACAAAACACTGTAAATATCTCTAAAAAAGAAAAAGTAAAATCATCTTCGAACTATCACATGCTTTTTAACACTCACACTTTATGCTACATTTCTGAAAGATATATTCTTAAGACACTGATTTTTATCACAATTCATTTTTGAATAAAAAGAAAGGCAAATAAAATAGTTCAGCTGTTCCTTAAACTTCACATTGAGACCATTTTGTGTACGACAGTTGCCAACATCCATTATATTCCACACAGTTTCATCCCCTTTGCTATCAAAAATATTGGTAATGCAGCATTAAAACAAAAACAAAAAACTAAAAACCACAAACCACCAGTACTTGTTCTTAACTATCTTCTGTCCATACTTAAAGGTAACCTTTTTTTTTCTTCCTTATTAACTTTATTGAGAAATAGCACATACCTACTTTTGATTTCTGCTTTGGGTATGTGGCTCAACACATATCATTTCATTGCTTTTTCTACTCTCTCACCACAATCATTTTATTCCTAAGCTGATTAAGAGTGCTATGCCATTACTTCTAGAATTTTCTTTCAAACCACTGACATTCATTCTTCTGATGTTGGCACTTTTTGTTGTTCAATCATGCACAACTAAGCCATAACTGCTGTCTGGAGAATGGAGATCATAAGACACAATGGATTATAGGATGAATCGCAATTTCAGACATGTTCAATGGTCAAAGCAAATATGCTAAGTGATTTAAGGAACATTTGCAAAAAAGGTGGGGATAGAGAACAAGAAAAGGGGACTTAAGAACACAAATTAATGTGATTTTCACACAAGTAGATGAGGAAGATGATTATTTTCTAAAACTTCTGAGAAGAAAATTGGAGTTAATGTGAAGGAATTTTAAACAGCCATTAGAATTCAGAGAAAAAACTTGATAAAATTTGAGCTGTTTGATAACAAAATGTTTATCTCTTCTTATACAGATTAAGTCCTCTCATATCACTATTTACAAAATGGAATCTGCATGGTATAGAAAGATAGTTCAAAAAGTATATTAAATTCTTTAACTTGTTCTAGCACTGTGTGCAGGATAGGGCAACTACAATCTCTCTGGAGCAAACATTATAGTAACTGCTGGAAAATATTTAGCTTGCTGCCACTTTAACATCTAACCAAAAGATGATGTGATTTAGAGATATATGAAAGCTTCAACTGTATGAGTATTGCTTTATTTGACAAATTAAATCCTGCTAAGGTAGACAGAGGTCTATATTTCTTTCATATTTAAAAAAAAATGAACTCAGTAGCATCTCAGGACTGCACTAAAAAGGAATCTGTTAAGTTCCAAAATTATATTTAAACTTCCCAAGTAACATCTGCTAAAGGGCATTCAGAAAAGAGGAAGTTCACCAGAAATAAAACTCATGAAAAAATGGAATTAAAAACGGACAAGGTACACTTGACCAAATAATAGGGATAAAGAGGAGAAATGTACAAATCAGTAAAACAATAAGCAATTTAGTATTCACTAGTTATTTTATTTAAGCCTTACAACTAACTACACTGCAAAGCAGCATGAACACTATCCCCATTTTTCAAATAAGAAAATCAAGCCTTAGGAGGGTTAATAACCTGCTCATAGTCATTCGGGAAGTAAGTAAAACTAGAATTAATTCAAATTTTCTTCTAAAGATCATATTTTACCCACACAAATGCTGTGTGAAGGATACTATATTCAGAACAGTCTACTTGTCAATAAGGACACATAAATTCCTGATCTACCAATGAGTGGTAAGCATTGTGCTAATTGCTTTGCATCAATTCTCAAATTAATTCTTTTAATAATCCCACCAGGTAGATACTATTTATTATCTCCACTTTATAAGAACTGAAAACGGAACACAAGAAAGTACAGGAACATGCCCAAGGTAACACAGCTGGCTAGTGAGTTCATTACAACATTGTCCTGCCCCACCCACTAAGGTCCTACTGAAGAGCAAGGTTCCAACACTTTGCATTAAGAGAAACAGAATCATTTCAAATAGGAATATAAATTCCGTACTAATGCCTTTAACTAATATACCAACTCTATTTATAGAAGTCAATTCTGGAGAAAAATGATTTATCTGATAAATTTTTGCTCCTTTTCCTTAAATCTATCTAATTTGCATCTTAAAATAAAACTGTATCTTGCTTCTGGCCAAAACTAGTAATATTTTAATATATGTGCTGCCGAAGTGAGCACCAAAACTAGTAATATTTTAAAAGAAAAATTTAAAAACAAATATATCTTGAATGTTGAATATAAGATGCAAAATGGCATAAAATGTTAATGGATATGTCAATAATTAACAACTGTAAAGCTGTCTTCATAGGCTAAAACATGACTTAAACAAGTATTTACTAAATATGGAAAACAGCAAAGTCTATTCGAAAAACTTATTTTCCTAAAAATTACTATCTCTTTAAAAAACACAAGACCTTTCAGAGCAATAAACAATTGCTGCCTATCAAATACTTAGACTGCCCTTGCATAATCAGAGAAAACCTGACAAAGCCTTAGATGTGTATTCTGAATGGGTCAAAACCAGGACATTGCTTTTAACAGTAAGTTATTTGCTCTGAGGACTTGCAGGAACAATTAAGATAATCCTTGCACTGGAGCTTTAGAATTACTATGCACTTATGTCACAGATGACAGACTTCCCCAAATTATTGTATTACTGTGACAGTTACTGTCAACACAAATGGCAGTTCTGGGTAATAAACCAAAAGTCAACATTTTCATAAATGATAAAGTGGAAGCATAAATTTGCAAAGTAAGGCATTAAAAAACTATCATCCTTAATATACAAAAATCTACTACAATCAAGTAAGACAATCTTATGGGAAAATAAACATAACCATTAACAAAACTCAATACAGATAATATAATTAGAATTCAACTTCATTAGTAAATCAAGGAAGCATACATTAAATGAAAACTTTTTGTTCTTCAGGTAAGTGACAGTTAAAGACAGTATACAATGTTAAAAGGATGTGAAGAAATGTACACTGTCACACTAGTGTTTGGAATGGAATTAGTATTGGTTTGCTGCCAATTTACTGGTTCTCATCAAAACTGAAAATGCAAATAAACAAAAGAAAAAGAGATGCAAACAACCTCTTGATGCTGATATTTCACTCCAAAAACCCCATTTACATAGTTGCAAAGATGTACAAGAGTGGTTCTCCACAGGATTACTTGTAATGAGGAAAAATTAGAGATAATTCAATATCCACCCATAGGAAAACCATTCAATTAGGGTCCATTCATACTGTAGATTTATCTTATGGAGATGTTTTTTAGTATAACAGAAAATGTCTAAGATGCAGTTTGAAACAGAGTGAGACATTGTGATAAAGCAGCAAAATATATACAGAAAGTATTTAAAAGGAAAAAAAGACTTGATAAAAGGAAAAAAAGCATATATATATATTTACCAAGACAGCTAATATACTTTTCAGTTATCAAGAAGCTAGTCAACAATTGGGCTGTGAATAAATTCAATACTCAAACTATATAAACATATGTACATCAGGTAAACATTTATACATACGAGTATTTCTGCAGTAACATGTAAGTTCAACTGAATGAAACCAAAAAAAAAAAGACTAAATCTAAACACTAAATAGGTAGAAAAATTCTAAATAAGGAACTACTCTAAATAAGGGGAATTAATAAAAAGCCAAAATATAAGATTAGAATTAAGGAAGAACATAATCACGAATTTGCAAACAATTCCCAAAATCTAGAGGAAATCATTTCCTCAGACTATTATAATTTGCCCTAGAAGAAACACATCATACATGAATATCCCAATTACTGTAGAAGCAACTGAAAGATACCCAACCAGATTAATTTCATAGCAGAACACCACATAAGCTTTAAAGAACACAGAATTACAATGTCCTTGTTTCAGGTCACAGGAAAAGATGAAAAGCTCTTTATTAATAATAAAACTCAAAAAAAAAAGGTATCAAAAAAGAAAAGCACGTAATGTTACTTATGAATATAAATCTGAAAAGCTTAAATATAACATTAGCCAAGAGAATCCTGCAATGTATATACTCTGACCAAGTAAAATTGATTGTAG